CCCCCCCCCCCCTTGTGGTTGCTCTGAATGTACCTACCGAACAATTTTTACCAGTTAATTTTACATAAATCTCTATAATACACTTTAATATGAAATAATATAATTATAGGTGGATGGAAAACACATAAGGCTCGAGTTCCCAAAAAACAGTGGCTCGTTATACTATAATTACAAAAAAATATTTTCTTTAACCCTTTCAGACCCAAGTTAACTTCTATCACAATAAATTTTTTTTTTGCATATTCCTTTTACTATGGACTCTAATAAAAATAAAACGTTAAAAAAAAAATGTTTTTTAATTTTTGACGGACTTAGGAGTATGTCCTCTATAAGTGACATTGGTTCACTATGGTAACAAAAAATATTAAAATATAAACAATTATTAATAAGTATAATTTGCAATATAATATAATAAAAGAAATATATTTATACTTATAAAAACAAATTTTTGTGTGTATTACCTGTGATAAAAAAAAAAAAATAATAATAATATTTTATATATTACCCATAAAAAAGTATGTCCTCTATAAGTGACATTGGTTCACTATGGTAACAAAAAATATTAAAATATAAACAATTATTAATAAGTATAATTTGCAATATAATATAATAAAAGAAATATATTTATACTTATAAAAACAAATTTTTGTGTGTATTACCTGTGATAAAAAAAAAAAAATAAATAATAATAATATTTTATATATTACCCATATTATATAAAAAAAAAATAAAAATAACTTTCGTTAACATTTTACTGATGGAAATCATAAAAACAATTACTTGTACCATCAAGACATAAGTGGATATTACATTTTATGCAAAATATGTGCGTTATTCTTTTACATGCAGGATTTTTGCATCTCGAAGTGTGGCCTTTTGCATCAAACTCAGGAAAATTATCAAATTTATCTTTTCGCACATCATCTGTTGGCTGACTGGAATCGACTTTTCGTACTTTGGGTATCGTTGAAACTTCATTATTATCTCCTGTATCTGCACGAGGTCTTCCCCTACGTTTTATTGGTACATTTTGGCATACTTTTATGAGATTTTCCGCAAGTGCCATTCTGAAATGTAGCAGATCTTTTCTTTTATTTTTATTTATGTTATAATGGTCAGCGTCTTTTTTATATTGTATCCAACAGTTAACAACTATTAGATCGAAAGCATTTACAATCATTCGTAGTGTCAATTTTTTTGAACGTATAAATGTTCGATAATAACTGATGAGTTGGTCTACCTTATCGACACCACCCATTAATGTATTGTATGCTGTTATTATTTTCGGCCTTTCAATATTGAAGTACATTTTTAATTTTTTATCCCAACGTCTTACAGTGTCCAACTGTCTGGATCCTATATAATTGAAAACTAAGGTAACAGACCTTGTATCATACCATTTCACCATACATAAATTGCAATTTTCCATATTAGTTGAAATTTCTAAGGCTGTACCTCTCCCCATTTTGGCTAATTGTTTATCGGTTAATAAGGGTGGATTTGCGAATCTATTAGTACGAATAGTACCAACAGAGTATGTTTGGTTGGCTTGCAACTGTTCAAATAAATTAAACGTTGAAAAAAAATTATCAAAAAAAAGGAATTGCCTATTTTTTTCAAGGTGTTTTGTTAAATGTAATACTACACTAGCGCCTAGACCAAATTTTTTTTGTGTCCTTGTATCTAGTTCAGTAGTATAAAGCAGTATATTGTAAACCATACCACTTTCACCACATAGCAAAAATGCTTTTATACCCCACGGACAGGATTTACCTTTTACATATTGCTTCATTTGCAAATGTCCTTTATAGGGAACCATTTGTTCATCGATACTTAACCTTCTTTCAACCGGCAAACTATTACATTTTTTATTAATTGCGTCGTATAAAAGACGAACTTTTATAAATTTATCTATATTATTTTTTGGAATTTCTGTATTATCGATTAAATGAAAATTTCTACGTAATGTGAAAAATCGATCTCTGGACATATTTTCAATAATAATATTCACAGCAGTAGCATTCTCCCAATATAAACGAACACGCGGATACTTTAAACAGCCCATTATCAAATGAACCCCAATGAACTTTTTTATTTCATTACAGTTGGTGGGTTTATATCTAGTTTGCGAATTTTGTATGGCATGTAAATTTGTATAATACACAATTTTTTCAAATATATCATTATTCAAATATTTATAAAAATAATCAGTTATAGAAGGAATTTCTGGTGGATAATTTCTTTCTTCTAAATCTTTCAATTTTAATTCAGGTGGACAAAAAGGAACTCTATCCCATTTTATATTTTTTTTTCAGTTACATTAAAATTAATACTAGTCTGGTTAGCAATTATCTCACTTTTTGTTTCATTCAGCTCGTCTTGGTCATCCCATTCTTCAAAATCATTTAATAATTGTTGCAGTTCATCATTATCGAACTGATCTTCCGTTTCTTCGTCCGAAAAATCTAATTCTGATACATGACCATCACACAATAAATCAAAAATTTCATGTTCACGTAACCCTCTAGCCATTTTGAATAAAATAAATAATAAAATACTTATAATACTAAATACGGGGAGTAATAACAATAATATTGTTAAACGGGCGTACGGTAGTACGACAAGATAACGAAGTGTCAAGTGACTGACGATTATGAAATACGAACGTTGTGACCCAATGTCCATTTTAAGAGACGTTAAAAGCATACGATAAACCGGGTTTTAATAAACAGAATAAAGTGGGAATTGAACCAAAACAATTCAACGGTTGTTATAAATAGAAAAAAAAATAAAACAAGTCATTATCATTATCGGTTATTAATCTAGTAATATGTATATACCGATAACATAGAATCGATTACGACAAAATTATATCAGATAATAATGTGAAAATTTATAGAAATACGTAAAACACGTCATTTATAAAATTATTTTCGGATTCTATGGTATTTTTCCTACAAACTCATTATATAATTGACTAAAATGCATCGTCATAGTAATTGTAATAATAATAAATAATATTTTGCCATGTCTCTTAAAGAGGACATGGGGTCTGGAAGGGTTAATTCTAATGGCCGTTTGTGATTTAAATTATTGTTTTCGTATTATCGATGTTGGTTCATATGGGAAGGAAAGCGACTATAATATATTCAAAACTTTAACATTCGGTAAAAAAGTGTACTCGAATAGTGTAAATTTTCCACCTGATCAATGCTTACTAGGTGATGATAATGGAGTTCCACAGCCGTTTATCTTAGTTGCCGATGAAGCTTTTGCACTACAGTTGTGCACCGTGTTTCACTAAGTATTTACCGATAATTACCTCTATTCACTACATCAATCATATAATATGGGTTTATGTGTCACTTGTGCCGTGAGTATTAAGCGCGGTCAAAACGACTCGATTACGTGTTCTTCCTGCTCTAAATTATACCACCTTAGTTGTGCTTCGTTGAAACAAGATGATATTGACTATTTAAATAGTTTGAATAAATCATGGTCTTGTGTTACGTGCGCTAAAAAATCTAAAAATACTATTTCTGTCGCTGGTAACTCTATTCAACCTATTACTTCACTTTCTACTACCAAACCCGACTTGAAATTAATTATCAACCATCTCGATAACTTACGCGCAGAGCAAACTAAGCTTATTGATCTGGTCAATGCTCAAAATGAAAAACTCAATTCTTTCGACAATAAATTCCACGATATCTTCTCTCAACTAACAAGTATCAGAAATGAAAATAGTGTGCTTCGTAATGATTTGGCTGCTATCAAAAACCGTGTTGACCTGTTGGAATTAGCTGCTCCAAAGTCCAATGATAATCGTGATATGTTTGCCGAATTTGTCGACCGACAAAATCGTTCTAAAAATATTATCGTTTTTAATGTGCTTGAACAATCTAGTCACAATAATATCACTGATACTGATTCAATAACACACATTTTTAATAAACTTGGAACGGACATTAAACCAATAAAAATTAGTCGTTTAGGCAAACCTAATAACAAGTCTCGTCCACTGAAAATAGAACTGCAAGCGGCCTCAGAAGTATTCAAAATTCTCGGGTTATCACGTAACCTGAAATCTGATCAGAATTTTAAAGATATTAGACTCACGAGTGATAAGTCACCTTATCAGCGAGAATTTCTGCGTGATCTACGCAACCAGTTAAGTGTTCGAATATCAAAAGGTGAGCCAAATCTGACAATAAAATACTATAAGGGTCAACCAACTATCGTCTCCTCTGCGGTTCAAAAAAACTAATCACCAACTCAAGCCTGCTACTCTACTATCAAAATGTTAGGTCTATGGTCTCTAAAATTAGCACTTTAATCCCTTCACTTAATACCTCTCTTTTTGATTTAATTTCATTTACTGAAACATGGCTTTCACCTGCTATATATTATGTAACTCTGAATTGCACTTTGTTAATTTTATAATTTTTCGTTGTGATAGGTCGCCGCTAAACAGTAACCGCTCTCATGGTGGGGGCGTCTTAATTACGGTAAAAAATACAATTAAGTGTAAAATGTTAAATACTTCTATCAATAATATTGAAGCTGTTTTTGTACATTTACAGATAGGTGACACAATTTTTATTATTGGCTGCATTTATATACCTCCCTGTTCCCCATTTATAACGTATGAAAATGTTTTTTTCCGCTTTAAATGACCTATACTTAGCCTATCCATCTGCAAAATTTATAATATTAGGTGATTTTAATTTACCATCAATTCATTGGACTAATTTATCGCTTCCAATTAATCTCACTTCTCAAGTTGATTCTTATTTTGTAAATATGCTATCTTATTTCAACTTTAACCAGCTTAATCATGTTCGTAACGAAAATGATGTAACTTTAGATCTAGTCCTATCAAACGCTCACCTTAATGTCTTTAATGATCCTGACCCACTATTACCATTAGAAAAGCACCATCCAGCTCTTAATGTTACTATTGATTATAATCAGTTTAATGTACTTAAGCCAACAGATTGTTATTATGATTTTAAACATTGTAATTATATTGATATTGTTAAATTTGTAGCCGATAATTTATCTTATAATACTTTTACTAACTTCAGCCTTAATGAATTAATCAACCATCTCTATAGTTGTTTAAACAAAGCAATTTGTACCTTTGTACCGAAAAAGCATGTTTCGTCAAACAGATTTCCCTCTTGGTATTCTACCGAGCTAAAAATATTGTTAACACAAAAAAAAGTTAGTCACTCATTGTATAAAAAATTTAATGACTCATCTGATTATAATAACTTTTCCCGTTTGAGAGCTAATTGTAAGAGAACTGCTAAACACGATTATAAAAACTATATTAATAAAGTTCAACTATCTGTCAAATTAAACCTTAAGTCTCTCTGGAAATATGTTAATAATCGTCGAAATAATAATTCAATACCAAACCTCCTTACGCTCGACACAACGTCAGCTGATAATGGATATGATATTGTTAACTTATTTGCTAAGTATTTCTTTAAAAATTACCCTCAGCCAGACAAACTAACCACTTTGGTTCCTTGTATTAATAATTCTTTAAGTAGTAATCATTCATTTTACTTTTCGTCTTTATCGCTTACGGAGGTCGATGTTTTAAAAGAGCTTACCGCTCTCCCTATCAATTTTAACGTCGGTCCCGATAACATTCCAGCCTTTTTCCTCTATAATTGTAGATTTATACTAACACCAACTTTAACCTATATTTTTAACTTATCACTCCAAAACGGTATATTCCACGACATATGGAAAAACTCTTTTATTTATCCTGCTTTTAAAAAAGGTGATCCCACAAATGTTTCTAACTATCGGCCAATATCAAAAATATCAGTAATTGCCAAACTTTTTTCAAAACTAATTTCTACTAAAATTAATAATTATTGCTCCTCATTTCTCACTCGTCATCAATATGGTTTTAGACCAAAGCGATCAACAAATTGTAATCTAGCTATTACTAAACAAATAATACTTGACTCTTTCGAAGCCCATACGCAAACCGAAATCATTTACACTGATATGTCTAAAGCAGCGGTTCTCAAACTGTGGTACGCGAAAGACTGTATGGTGGTACGCGGAAGGCCGCATGGTGGTAGGACGGAAAATTAAAAACAATTATTAAATTCTTAGCGTAGCGATGATTTTACAGTGTCGTGTGTTATTTAATTCGTATCTTAATTTAACTTAAACACTAATAAATTTAACTATGTAAAGTTTGTATTGTTCTATTTTTAATCATCAGTGGTACGCAACTGATTGATAATATACTTAAGTGGTACGCGAAAAAAAAAGTTTGAGAACCGCTGGTCTAAAGCATTTGATAGCATAAACCATGAAATATTATTTATGAAATTAAAATTGTTTGGGTTCTCTGACCCTCTGCTTTCATGGTTTCGCTCTTTTCTCTCAAACCGTAGTATCGTTGTTAAACATTTGAACTTTGAATCAGATCAATTTAATGTACCATCCGGGGTCCCGCAAGGAGATCACCTCTCTACTCTACTTTTTAATATTTTTATAAACGACATTCCGGATGTTATAAAAAATTCTCGTGTTTTTCTTTTTGCTGATGACCTTAAACTGGTAAAAATAATTAACAATCAAGCTGATGCGCTTGACTTACAAAACGATATTGATAACATTCAATCCTGGTGCTCAACTAATCGCCTGTTATTAAATATTGACAAATGCAAATTTATGCGATTTAGCCTCAGTAAAAATGTCATCAATTACAATTATAAAATTTCCGGCACTCATATTGAATTACTAACAAACTTTAAAGACCTAGGTGTCATTTTTGATTCTAAGCTCAATTTTTCGGCCCATATTGAAATGATAAAAAATAAGGCAATGCGCAACCTGGGTTTCATCAAAAGAACTTGTGGATCATTCAGTGATCCACTACCTCTAAATGTCTTATTTTGCGCCCTTGTACGCTCAAACCTTGAATAATGTCCATTAATTTGGACTAATAACACTTCCAAACAGATTGATGCGATCGAATCTGTTCAAAATAACTTCCTCCGTTTCATCTCCTTCAAGTTTAGTATCTATAGACCACCTCATAGTTCCTATGATTCAGTTTTATCATTTATCAATCTCCTCTCGCTCAAAACTAGACGCACTTTACTACTATCAAAATTTTTACACAATTTACTCTTAGGGAATATCGATTGTCATGAGCTCCTTTCCCTTATCCGTTTTAAAGTAAATCGCCGTAACACAAGATGCAGTGATTTATTCCATCCCGCCTCATATAAAACAAATTATATGATGAACTGTCCTTCTAATATCCTAATGGCTGCGGGTAATTCCATTACCTTTGATTTTGTTTAGCATGTCTCCCCCTACTTCTTTCTTTGTTGTTATTTATTCTTTCAATACTCTTGTCTATATTTGTAAATTATAACTATATAATGTGTTATTATTACCATGTATACACACAAAATTGTTAAGGACTCACGTCCGTTTATAAAAAATAAATAAATAAATAAAAATTTATTACGACCGTTCCCAGGCAG